ATTACAACCTTATGATACATTTTAGTAGAGACATAGTCCCATATATAAATACAGGTGCACATACAAATCAGAACGCAATAATTTATTCCACTGATGCACTGACACTTGGAAGAGCGGGAGGAAGTTGCATGGAACTGGGTGACACCAAATCAGAATGACTCAGGGGAACTTAAATAGCCTGCCATTAGGAATAAGATACTCTTTTTGGTGCCTGGGGGGAATGAGATTTCATCTGAACAACAGCTGATACTTTATTGCATACCTGACTTTGTGGATCCACATTCATCTTGCTCACTGAGTTGTTCTCATTCTCCCACAAACAGAGAAACTCTGCTTCAATATGCCTTTTTTGAAAGATTTAATTGAAAATACTGTTATTCATTATCAATAGCACCACACCATAATGTATTTTCAAGGCTGTTTGGTTTTGGAACTTTATTAACATAAAGGATTATTTAAAACCCACTAGAGATCTTGGGATATCACATCAAGACTGAAGCTGATGTCTGGTACATTACAAAGAAAACAGTACAACAACCCATAGCACCGAGAGCCAGCCCATAAATAATATTGTTTGTTAGGTTTAGCTAAAATGCTGGAAAACAGAATGTGGGTTTTTTTTTAATCTCAGGAATCTTTATCACGCTGGAGTAGAAACTCTCCCAAGAAATGCCAATAATTACATCCAATAATAATATTGAAGTTGTAGAAAGCCACAGCTGACAGACAGACAGTGGTACTTGATCTCTATTACTGGTCAGCAGTGGCTCAGTGAATGTAGTATTGCATGCTAATTCAGCTCACTGCCAGAAGTTCGATCCTCACCAGTTTAAGGTTGACTCAGCCTTCCACCCTTTCTAGGTCCGTAAAATGAGAACCTAGATTGTTGGGGGCAATATGCTGACTCTTTAAACCACTTAGAGACAGCTGTAAAAAGCACTGTGAAGCACTACATAAGTCTAATATGTATTGCTATTATAATTGCCTACCTTGAATTTTTCTGTAGAATGATAACATCATAGAGAAAGGTGCAATTCTGTGAAAAACTTAAATCCTATAGAAATTTGTTATAAGGCTTCGAACAAGTTAGATGCTATATAATATATACTGCACAGAACTAACACTTGAGCGTATAGAGAAAATGTTTCAGAGTTTCCTCCCATGGTGCTTGGTGGGGCAAAAACAGATGTTTCTGTTACTCTGTCAGTGCAGTTTTATTTGTGGTGTCCTAGAAAGGAGGCTGTTCAGGAATATATATACCTAATGGAGGAAAAGGTCATCTGTTCTAAATGTAAAGGTGTTTTCTTTCTAACCTCATCCTATCACCAGGTTGGTTTTCCTTTCCCACAAAATGTTTTAGATTGGTGAATGAGTCTAACAACAGGGCAATTATTATGCCAAACAAGTTGGAACAGAACTAACTTCATCAATATTAAAATTATTTGGGGAATCCTACTGAAAAAAAATATTAAGTCATAAATTACAAGATTCTTGTAATTTATTGAGAAAGAGAAGCAAAGAGAGGGAAAGTTAAAAAGAGAAAGGAAAGGAAAAAAGGAAAAAGAAAGGGAAGGAAGAAGGGAAGGGAAGATAACCTATACATAGAGTAAACTCTTAACCAATTTTTATTATTTCTGAAATTTGCATATTTATATATCACCAAAATTTGGTGGCAAGTGGCTAATTTTCTACAACTTGGCCTGCTCAATCTAATAGTGTAGCTATCATCAGCCATGGTCCACACAGTGGTTCTTACAAATAGTGAAATACAAATTAAGTCATATGAACTAAACTTAATCAGGATCACTGCTAGTCACTTCAAAACTATCCAGCTTCATACAGTAGACATAGTGATCATTCAAGAATGAATGAAACCTAAATCTGTCAAATGTTTGATAAAGTACATGTACCCTTTAGTTCTACCGACAGTGGGCTCTCTTCCAAAGCATTGTGTCTGTCTATTAGTAAACTCTATTATCAGGTTGCAAGTGCGAGAGGATTTTTTGGAAGTGACTATGAAACTATGTGATACATCCTATGATGAAAAAGGTTATGAGTATTAAATAAAGCCACCAAAGAATTTTCTGGATATTTCAGAATGTGGAATTTTCTGAATGCTTCCATAAATATAATGTAGCTTCATCACAGTGGTAAGACAATAAGTGGGATTATACATAATACTAAGTTGCGGTTCATGGTTTGCTGAATAAAATATAATTGGTAGGTTCACACAACATGCTAAACCATTAAGAAATGGTTAAAGCCACAATGGCTGAGTTCATATATATTTTAGGGCTCACATCAGAATGCATTTAAGCAAGACGTTGGTTCCTAGTCACATCTTCATATTCAGAACTTGAGAGTTTTTAAATCTTCAAAGAAATTCTACTTACCAGCCACAAATCTATGTCTTTCCCACCATTTTTTAAAACTTCGTTCCTTTCTTTGATCAAAAGAAAGCTAGAATATAGTCTCCAGTTTGGCTAACCTTAGCTGGGACTAAATTCTGTGATTAAATTTACAGAACTTATTAATTGCAGTTATTTTAATTGCTATTAAGGAAATATTACAGTATCATAGAGTTGGAGCCTGCTCTGTGCAGAATCCACAATGGCATCTCTAAGATACGACTATCCAGCCTCTGAGCGAAGAACTCTTATGAAGACTATTTTAATCATTTCAGCCTGTTCCATTGGCTGCCAGCTTGTACAGTTAAGGAAGTTTCTCCTCATGTACAGTATATCTTGAACATCTTTCACTGATTCTTATCCTGTCCTCTGGGTCAATAGAGAATTCCACTCCTTCTGAGTGACAACACTTCTTTGGCAGTCACAGAATTGTTTGTCTCCTCTGCTCTACTAATAACATTTGGCTTGAAAGCTATATCATGTGGTAACTGTTGGCAATTTCCAGGCCTGGTGATTTCCTACCTACCAGAAATGTGTGCAGGGAAAGATGGCAAACTGCAAACTTTCACTTTACCATTTAAATTTTGTAATTTAAAAAAAACTGAACTCTTGACTATGCGTAAGAAGAACTCAATTTGAGGGATATATGTGCAGGCAAAAATTCTTAACTTATACTCAAGTATATATGGTACTCCTTGTAGAATCAGTGGCATTCTGGAGCTGGACCTTAGGGATATAATTCAGGTTCTTCAATTTATTCAAATCTTTCTTTCATCCTACCCAGTTGGAAAGTGGCAGGAACAGGCAATTGAAGAGTGAACAATGGCAAACACCTAGGCAACAAGGTATGCCATTGTATTATTAACTTCTCATTTTAAATACTTCTCAGTCAAGGACTGGCAAACTTGTTCTTTTCACTTAAAACAAATACTTCTATGCAAAAACATACAAACACACCCTTATTGTTCTAAGCAACATGGAACATATGCTAAGTAGTGTTCACAGCAGAAAAACACACACACAGTTATCTCATTAGAAAAATTCATAAATTGTTCAATAGCTAGCAAATTATACTTTTAGACATATTGTGGACATTCTTGTATTTTTTTACAGAAATTATTCTCTATCACCAATCCAAGATGTTGCAGGAATAGAAACACTTAAAGTAACACTCTAAGATTCTAAGAGAACTATTTAATAATGTAGGAATGAACACATGTAGAAATAATTCTGTGACACTTTTACTGTGGCATAACCTTTGTAGATTAAAATCAGTTTCATTAAATATTTAAAAAATGAATATTTGGATTGCAATTTCTAGATTTTTGCCTTCTTCATTTGTAAAGAATGTATGCATTATTAAAACAAAACATAATTAGGAGCATCTCCACATAAAAAGTTTTGCTTTGCTATGGAACTACCACTAAATTTGGTTGCTTGTATAATGTCAACTTATTTGAAACATTTAAAAAAATTTTTTACTTCCACTATATTTTAAGAGGAAAAAATTATTTCTTGCTTTTTAACATTACAGCTCTGGTGGATTTTTCCTCTTACAACTAGCAGGAAATCCTAGTTCATCTCCTTACTTCTCACAGAATAAATTGAAGTCAATCTCCCCCAACACCCATCACCATCTTGTTTAAAATTTAGAATCATGTTTTTCAAAACTGGGTGAACTTCAACTACCAGCATTTCCCAGTCTGCATAATGGCTTGGGAATTCTGGGAATCGAAGTCCATCCATCTTAAAGTTGCCAACTTTGAAAATCACTGATTTATATCCTCCACTTCAGCCATCACTAGAACACAGATCTATAATTTGAAGTATACTGAAGAAAGGACCTGGCAGCTGGGCTGCTCTCCATTCTAGGTTACAGTTCTCATGGGCTGTGCAGTGCTGCAGAAGATTGATCACCTGACAACAGCAAAGCTCAGCAGTTTAGCAATCACTCAGATATTTGGCTGGTGGTCAAAAGCGTGCAGTATGAACACCAACTACAGGGTGGAATCCAATAATTCATTTTATTTCTGTATTCTGCCATGTGTTGGCCAGACACTGTGTTTCCTAGTTCCAGGAGCTTGACTAAATGCTTTCCTCCTATTAGCCAGTTGGGGGAGGGGAGGAGAGAGAGAGAGAGAGAGAGACAAAGGACCTGTGGACTTATCTGAGCATCATCAGGAAAACTGAATAGAATAGAATAAAATAAAATTTAGTAGGGCGAGTAGCAGTAGCAAAAGATCAAACAATGCCAGTGTGGACTTGGCTCCATATACTGATTTGGCGATTTTGCTTTGGGGGGGCGGTCTGTTTTTTAAAAAAAAATATAGTCCGATGAACCCATCAACAATTGTGATTCGGTCAGGAACTATAATTGACAAAGGCTGTCAATGTGTTATCATTTTTGGACGATTCTCCGCCCTCAAAGTGTATCACAGAAAACCAAAATTCAGAGTTTCCGCAAGAAACAAGCCGTCGCGGATGAGCTCAGCCGTCCTGTCAGGCCAAATCGCCGACCGCCACGGCTGTCACGAAAGCAGTGACGCCACGGCTTGACGGCCAGCTGGTGGCGCTGTCGATCAATCCCGGCGCCCAGCTTTGGTCAGGCGCGCCAGGATTCGGGGCCGTTTCATGAAAGCCAGAAGGGCGGCGGGAGGGGAGCGAGTCCCCCCCCCCCAAAAAAAAACAACCTGGCAGCTCTTCCCGCCGCCCGTGGAGCGAGGTCGATGTCCTCATCAGGCTCTTTTGCCCTCGCCAGCGGGATGCAGGCGACTTTAAGAGCCAGGCGGGCTCGGCGTTCCAGGCAGGGTGAGGCAGTCGCTCTCCCGGTTTGGCTAGTTTCCCGGAGGATGACCGAAGAGGAACCACTGCCGGCGTTGATTCCAATGCGCTGCAGCTAAGGACTACGAACTGCCGAGGACGGGAGAAGCAGCCGCTCGGCGCACTGGCGTTCCCGAAGCCGGAGCTGAAGGCGAGGAATGGCAACCCAACGCAGCAACGCAGACTGGATGGGCTCCTTGTCGCCCGTCCTCAGTGCCCTGCCGCTTTCCACGCTGGCCATTCCAGGTAATCGACGACCCAACCGACCTTGTCTGTCTTTGCGTCCCTCGTTTGAGAGAGGTTGCACACCTGACGGGGCTCAGCCTGCATCCCAGAAATATGAAACGTGCTCGGCAATTTTTTTTCAGCAAAGGGCACCTCCGTCCCTGGAAAGAATACTTTCCAGATGAGCTGAGACCCGTGGAGAGGGCATGTAGGAATTGGGAGTTTGATACATCTGGAGGACAACAGATTGAGGAAAAAGGCCAGTTGAGTTGTAAAGAATCAGGAAACCAGGAAGTTTTGAAAGTTGTAATTTAAACGTATCTGGAGGGTGATGGCGGTTATGATAATGTGAAGGCAGGTGCTATTAATTTAAGTGAAATCCAGAAGTCAGGATATGGGGTTGGGCAGATTAAAAATATACTTATTATCTTGCACTTAAGAAAAAAAATTAAATAACTGGAAAATGAAATGTGATTTGCATCTACTAAATGAGTTTCTTTGAAATGGAGTATAAAACATTTTGTAAATGTTTCCTTCCTTCACAAAATCAGAATGTGTTTTATATATCATTAATAGTCTAAGATTTACAGAACACAGTGTGTGTGTGTGGGGGGGGGGGGTTGAGAAGTTTTATCCCAGAATAAGAATTTGATACATTTCATTGAAAGAATGAATGAAAAGTTTATTACAGTCAAAGGACTAATAGCCAAGAAAAAAAACAAGATACATGATGACATTTCATAGAAACCAAACTCATTCAGGAAATAGTTTCCTCCTGCATATAAATCCAGCAGCAACTGGAACTTTGACTACAGATAGACTAACCTTAAGCCTAAATTTGGACAAAAGGAAATTTGCAATGTATAGTTTAAATTAGAGCCAGTTTCATCTAATTGTTAAGGCACCAGGACAGAAAACTGAAGCCATGACTTCCATCTTAACCATGAAAGCCAGCTGGTGACCTTGGGCCAGTTGCACACATGCCCAATTCACCTCACAGGGTTGTTGGGAAAATAGGAGGAGGAAAGTGTCTGGATATGTTTCCTATCCTAAGTTATTGATAAAAATAATATAGGTGGGATATAAACAAATAGGTATGGTTGAAAAGTCAATGAAGGGTACATTTAATTTATTTTTCCCAAAGTTAGAAAGCAGTTAAAAGATCAGCCAAAAGAAGAAAAGAAAAGAAACCCAGAGATTGCAGGCCTGGAACAAGTATCTACTTGGGAGCATTCCTTTCTCATTGGCATACAAATAACAGATTTGTTTGTTTGTTTGTTTGTTTTACTATATCCCAAGAAAGAGTTGTCTGTTATTTCAGAGTCCTGTTTGGACAAAACTTTTGTCCATTGCTTCCAAAGTCTGCTAATTGAGAATCTATTAAATCAAGTATTACTATATCTAAATATTCAGTTATCTATAGATGATATTAAATATGGAAAATACCTTTTCTGCTTATTAAAATAAATAGATGTGGCTTAATAGTAAATATAAATTAATGTTTATCCATGATAAAGTATTCAGTAAGACTTATATCTCTTTCATAAAAGCTGATCATTGCAGAGCTCAAGCAACATTCCCATATTATATTAGATTGAAAGTATATAATTGCAAATGTAAGCTCATTAGGAGAATTGACCTTTACTTAGCAATAACCATAGTTGACTTCAGTTAATCTCAGAATACCAGATTAGATGAATTATTGTTCTTAAGTCTAGTCACCTTAAACAACTGGAAAATCCATAGGTGGCATATGGTGATCTTTGATTTGGGTTTTACTTGCATTTAACAAAGAGAATGTTAGCAGAACCTGCCCTTTCATCTTGCTGCTAAAGATAAAAATGAGGAAATGGGCTAGCAAGTCATAGCAGTAACTAATATAAATGCTTTGTTAAATGTTTGCTCAAAATTCCCATTTCAAATATTATTGACAAACAAATGGGGCTAGAGAATGTATCATGTTAAAAGTAATCTGCATTGTTGCTATAGAGAATCTACATTGTAGAGAATGAAGTGAGAGAGAAAAGATTACTTTTAATTCACATATCAATTTTGCTAGATTTAAATCCTGTTATTTTTTTTCCTCCCGAAGCCTTCTCATTTGAAATGAAATGTAAAACTATTTTTTCTGCAGAATTGCAAAACAGAATGTTTATCTTTATCGCAGATTACAAGGATTTTATTGGTCTACTACTTCATGTAGGTATAAAGTTATTCAATGGATGTAGCAGATGAAATGAGCATTAAGACACTCAATATAGAATAAGCCAATTAGAAAGCACCCTTCTGTTTCATGCCTATAAGCATCTACTTAAATTTAATAATTACCACAAGAGCAAGAAGAGTATTTAAGTACTTGACACCAAACATAATGCGTTTTAGTAGGACAAGATATCATAGCATCTACATTCTCTTATGTTCAAGCCATCAAAGGGATGAAATTGATAGGACACTAGAATCGGTTTTAAAAGTTATTGGCAAATCCCAGCACTTGGTTTTTAAAACAATGATTTACCTAATTTGCAATATCTCAAATATCAAATAACATTTTTAAAATTTTTGTAATTTAAATGATTCAAAATAAGCCAATGGTATGAATATATCCACTGCTGATAAATAATATTTCTAATAAGCAGTATCTCTTTTTTAAAATCTATTTTATTAATAAATCCAACAGGAGAAAGCATACATAGACTATAAGTACAAGTCAATATATTTCTTCCCACCCCATCTTCTCCATGTACTCTTTTATTCCTTTATTTAAGAACAATACTTATTGGTTGTTCTTCCTGTTCTAAAGGAAGGCTGATGGTATCCACTATTTTTGTCTCTTTTTACTTTTCTTCTAGTAGTGGTGTGTGTGTATGTGTATGTGTATGTGTATGTATGTATGTATGTATGTGTATATGTATGTATGTATGTATGTATGGCATTCAGCTTTGGGTATTTTCCCACGTCATTGTAGTTGTGCTTTTAAAGTTGTAGCAACGTTTTGGCAGAATCTCATCTGCCATCATCAGATGGCAGAAGCCTGATGATGGCAGATGAGATTCTGCCGAAACGTTGCTACAACTTTAAAAGCACAACTACAATGACGTGGGAAAATACCCAAACAAAGCTGAATGCCATACATGTAAGTACCCGCGAAAACTTACTATATATTTAGGACACACACTATACATACATATATACATGTATGCATGTATAGTGTGTGTGTGTAATTCTGTAAGTGTTTAAGAAATACTGCACATTATGAACTCTTAATATTACATCAGGAAGATTTATTTCTGTTTTGAGTACATTATAATTTACTTCATGTGCTAATTTACCTTGCCTATGATGTAATATGAAAATATTAGCACATAATGTTCTTATATAATGTGACTAAGCTGCATATTAATATCTATGAATGTTAACCATGAATCACAGTACACGTGGAAAATAACAACCATTAATGGCTTACTATTTGATAGTTACATATTATTTGCTTGCTCATGGATACATTTTTGAGCACTGTTTTAACAATGAAAAAGTTGAAATATTGTGACAATAGGCTTCTCCAGTAACCCAAATTACAGAATATCAATAACAAACCGAAGGTAAGGGAAAGGTAATGTTATATTTGTTTTAGTATTACTATCTTGTGAATATTTATGGTTTGATTTTAGGATTAATTGTGAAATATTGTGCTTTGATACTTGTAAAATATATATGAGGGCCTATGAATTTCAGTTTCCAAGGAAATGTATATTTAAGCACGTTTTTAAAATATTATTTTTGTCATAGCTATCATACAGTTGAGAGCTATGCTCAAGGTGCTCATGGAAGAGCCACCTGGTGTGCAAATTGTGCACTGCACAAGATTGCCCCATGAAGCAGGGCACCACTTGCAAGTTTAAAAAAAATACTCAAAAACTGCATGGCATAGTCATATAAAAAGAGTGCGTGAGAAAGAGATACAATATTCTAAATACTAAAAAATGGTTAGGGATAGGCAGTTAGCGAATTTCTATACAAGGGGATCTGGTATGCCACTAATGGCCCTACCCAGTTGCATGCAGAATATTTCAGATAAGAATTATTTTTGTGTGCAGTGCCATTTCATTTTCAAAACATTTTTTTTCAACATTCCTGTCACATTACCAATAGGCAGTTTCAGTCATCCTGAAAGTGTTCTGAGATCAGAGAGCTGTTTTATGTTTTAAATACTCAACCTTGTGGTCAAAATACACCCCCCTCCATACACACACATACCTACACAAAATGTTTGAAATAGCCCATTTTTGAATATGGATCACTCTATAAAAAAACTTTTTCCACTACACTCTTTACTGAAATAAATATTTTTAAGACTTCTTAAATCTGTTAATTCTCCTCCATGCTGCATCGAGAGCCCAGGATGGGTTGACTCCTTCCAATGATGTCATTTAGCTGAGTCTGTACTAAGATATAAAAGCCAGCCCCTGGGAGAGACCCCAGCTTTTGACTCAGCTCCTTTCAGTCAGTAGCTGTGTCTCTGAAAGCGTTTCTGTTAGATAGCACTCACCAGTGATCTTCAGTACTTTTTTCTTGCTTCAAGCAGCTCCCAAGGATCTGGGCAGCTGCTCTTCTAGGAGAGCAGGGCTCACTCTCCTGCAACGTTGGGAGTAGCGTTACAGAGCTCTGTGCAGGCAATGTCTGTAGACCTCCCCCACACCTGCGGTTTGGAGCGATCGTAAAAATGATTGGCAAACTCATGAGAGCACAAGCCAGATGATTGTGTGGCTGGTTGCTCCGTTTTCCCTTGCTGACTTCGCTCAGGGCTCTGTATAGCCTAAGGAGCGATTCTTCAGTCTTGGAGCCTGTTTCCTGTAGTCAGTGGCCATCTTGGATTTAAGCCTTCCACCATGAGGTGAGCGGCCATTTTGTAAGCCTGGGGGCTCTCACAGGCCGTACTCCCAATGCCAAGACCAATGGGTGGAAGCATCTGGCAGGCAACAACGTTCTACTGGTAAATGGTCCTTTCAGGGGGAGGGGGCCAT